CCTTCCTCTGCCTCCTTTGTATCTTGTGTCATCGCCTGTCAGAGGTCAGAGAGCTTGCATATTCTATTAGGCAGAGTTGCCTTCATTTGTACAAATTAGTTTACCCAACAGTAATTAAAATGCCAGTGCGGGTCGGGGAGAGCTGAATACAATTGATGGGCACGTTGGTGAAGGATTTGACAGCTCCGGTGGCCTCCCTTGCCAAAGCGTGTCAGTGCTGAATCAAAGGCTACACAAACCCACAGACCCGTGCGTTTAACCCGCGGCACCGTCGGCACCAACTGCTCTCTCTCTTCTCCTATCTCCCTTCTGGCCTTGCTTTCCCTTCTCCTTCTTTTCTCATCTCACTTGAGACTTTTTAAAATAGATGTTTCCCATCTTTGAGCTGTCCTTTCTGTTGATCGCTTTCATAACACTGCTACCAACCCCCCCATCCTGTCTCCCCTGGTTCTCCCGCTTTTCTCCCCCCACCTTCCACATTCCCAGCTGCAGGGCTGTGTCAAGTAATAACTTCTTTGTTTCCCAGTCCAATGAGTCTCCATATATAATAGTTTCCAAAATGGAACAATGATGTCCAATTCCAGGGGGCGGGGGAGAGTGCCAGGAGGATGGAACGGACTCTTGCACGTGTCAAGCAGATTCTGGATTTGAAATCCCCGAAGAGCAGAATAGAACTAGAGAAGCAATCTGTTTACAGTGCAGGGAAAGGCACAAGCCTGGGGCACAGGGGATATGTATTGAGAAGAGGTGGGAAAGGACCTGTTTTATCCAGGCTCCTTCAATGACTTTTCATTGCAGGATTCCCAGCTCAGGCAGCACCCACTCTAGAGGCTGGGTTGATAGTGGGAAAAGTATATGTTGTTCAATATGACTTGTATTTCTGGAGCTGAGACTGTTTCCAAACCTCAGAATAAACAGCATCTTTCCAAAATTACTGATGGACATCTACCTCAGTCCCTCGGATTTGTTCACATCTGGCAATGGTCTGTCCAGGATGGGGTAAAGAGGGATGCTACATGAGTCAAACTGTAGTTGGCACCTTGGGAGCAGCCATGGGATTATTTCAGCTGGAGTGTAGCCAGGGCACTACTGCTGTTGCCAGGAATGCCGTGGGATCTTCAACAACCACAAGTCAGTCAGATGGAGAGTTCTTGTGTTTCTTCCAACAGCACTGCCAGAATGTGTGTTCTCTTTCATTTCCTGGCCCAGCTTGTATTGTTGGGGGGGATGATGTCTAATGAAATGTCTCTTCTGCAACATAGAGAAGGTCTGGCTTCTGGAGAAGCAGGCTCTTGGTTGTTCTGTTGAGTTTTTATTTTTCCCTCTTGTTTATTCCTCTCCTCTCCTCTCTGTCAGTAGGAAGTTTCAAATAAGAAAGAGGACATCAAAGTATCAGATGAGTTGGAAGATTCTTTGTGTTGGACAACAAAAATACACTGTTTATGAAGTATGTATGTTAATGCTGTGCAAAATTCTTGCCTTCCTGGTTTGGTTTTTGGCTTGGTTTTAGTTCCTAGGGGATCCCTGTGAAGACAACATGCCCTGTTATGGAAGCCCTACAATGATGCATATTTTCCCCTTAGAAGGGCCTGTTAGAGGGAGCTTGTAGTCATGGTAGCCAGCAGCTTTCAAAGGACAGGAGGAAGCTTAGTAGGGAAAGGTCTTTACGTCTCCAAGGCCATGTGGAGACTGGCCATAGCAGTTTTTATGGTGGATGTAGATGCATCTGATCAGAGTCAGTGTACATCAGTGTGTTGTATATACTTCAGGTAGATGAGTCATGCCTGCATTAATATATTTAAGGTATCCTGTACTTCCCTCTTCCCAATCTAGTCTCTCTCCAGTCTGTGGGCAAAATGAATGACACTTCCTAAGCTAGTGTCATCTTGAATTGTTTTTCTTGCGCAGCTGGCAACAACACTTGTGAAAAAGCTGTACTTCTCTAAACTGGAGGGTTGTCTTATGTGTGCTCTGTGCTCTCTAAGACAAAAAAGCCTTGTTGAAGATAGACTGAAAGAAGCAAACCTGATAGAAGGCTTCAGCCTGATCTTCCACACTAAACGAAGTTTCAGAAGTTTTGGAACCAAGCTTTGCATGCTTTCCTCCAATCTGCATGTTGTTTTAGACATATGAAAGCTGATTTGTGTTGCTTTTTTGCCTGAAGTAAAATTGTCACCTCTGAGACGTTCCCAGTTATGACACACCTGAGGCTTCAAGGTGTGTGCCTGCAGATCAGACTCAAGGGGAGGGGCCCTGTATCATGCCCTGGAATCCAGACTTTAAGGTCAGTTCACTCTCAGGCTTCGAGAATTTCTCAGTGACACTCCTTGTGCATGTTGTCTTGTGAATGCTGCATTCTAATGCTGCAGTGAAGGTGGCCTGCTCTTGTGGGAGAAGTCTTATCTTTGCTTGCTAATGGGCTCAGGCTGTTAAAGATAAGGCCTGCAAACCTGATCCCACTGAAGTATGAGACAAAATTCCTGTTGACTGAATGGAGTCAGCTTTACCCAGAAGAGACTTGTTTGTGGCCCTGAGGCCTGTATTCGATGCTGGAGAAAAATCTCTTTATCTAATGCTTTTTTCTCTCTCTGTTTTTTTGTGTTTTTTTTTTTTTTTCCTCTGAGGGGTGAGGGGTAAGGACCAAGGAGGGAAAGCTGAAGTCCAGAACTGACAGCATGAGGGAGGATTAGACCTAGCTGTTCCTCCCACCTTTTTCTCCCTGTTGGTGTGCCTCCATGGTAATTTAGACCTGTGGCAACCATCAAAGCCTTGTGCATACCTTCTGCACAAAGGGATCTGTCTCCCACGTGAGAGTGTTCTCTGCTGGGACAGAGTCAGTTTGTCCCCCAAAAGAAAAATCTTAAGCACCCAATTGCCTGCTTGACTGACTCCCTGACTGCTATTGTGTTTCTAACCACAGTAATTGACTTTAGTAGTTATTAATGGATTATGACTGGAGAGGGGGGACAAAACCCAACACCTAGCTTTGTAGCAGAGGGACCTGCTGACCAAAGTGCTGCTTTCCAGACATGGGGTTTGACCAACAAGCTGTCAAAGTGGGTGTCTTTTGTTTGTTCTCCTCTGGGGTGGGTGACATCGGCGAAAGAGAAATGTTCCCCTCTGTCCTGGACTATGGTGGAGAGAAGGCAGGCATTGAGCAGAAACCATGTTTCCAAAGATTAAATGCTGCACACTTTCTTAATTGATTGTGGTGGCTGCTACACAGCAAGAGGAATTGGATTTTCCATAGACTCTCAGACTTTGGTCAAGGACTTACATGGAGCACCCTGCAGCACCTCTAGGGACAGCCAAGTGCTACAGGTGCTTTGACTGATTGTATGTGCACTGCCAATGAACCTGGAATTTTGCATGTAGGACATCCTGGTTGGAGACACTTTGAAATAGCTCTAGTTCTGCAGGCCTTTTCTAGCCTTAAGGGCATCTAAGAGTCACAGAACTTGTGGACACCTCCAGGTCCATGAGATTGGGTGGAAAGACAGAGTCAACACAAAAGAGGCCTTGGTAGCTAAAGCCCTTCCTAAGTTCTTGTAGCTCTTTGAAATGGTTTGATGTTACCTGCTTGCCTCTTTTGAAGAGTGTTTTGTCAGTGCTGCTTTGGCTTTATGGTTTGGAGAAACGAGTTGCTCAGCTAAACCACAGAGATAGGAGCAGAAGGAGTCCTGAGTTCAGGTCTGGCTTCCATCTGGTCCTTCTCTGGCTTTGATTGAGTTGAACCTGTGCTCACCTGGCTGCTGAGTGCCTTCTTGCAGCAGCACTAGTAGCAATAGCTTCTCACAGAAGTCAAGGGTGCTGCAAGAATCCATTCCTGGTGCAATAGAGGTTTGCAGACACCTTGACTTCCAAAGAAAGAATGCTGTAGAGGATTAAATAAATGTTTAAAAACTGCTCTGTTATTTTTATAGACATGACATTGTTTTCTTATTTTGCTTTCATTTTTCAGCTGCCAGCCCTGTGTCATACTGCAAAAGTTCTTTAGGCAAAGCATAGAAATGGCTTTTATTTAAAGCAGGTTCCATTTCGTGTGTTCATGCTATCCTTGTTGCATTGACTTAAACATAGTTTTGGAATTTTATTCTCTGTAGCTGCAATATATATGGCTTTATGAGAGGTCATTTGTAACTTACTTAGAAGTCCTTGTATGAGCTGCTTCCTCTTATTTGGACTGAGAATGGGAAGCTGGCACGAAACAAGCGGTGTGGTTTGGAGAGCACAGCACCCATGTTCCTCATGCTTGATTTTAAGGATTTGTTCTGTCTTATGAACTAGTATAAGGCCAATGGGTGTCAGGTGACCTCTGGAGCCAGCATGTGCAGGAGGGACACAGTCTTGCCAAGAGGACTTTGGAATGGGCCCTGATGGAGGGTGTAAACGGAGCCAGATATTGCTGCAGGAGTGGTGTGCTGCCTCTAACAGGGAGTGCCTGAGCACTGGGGAGGGCAACCTGATCCAGCTTTGAAATTGGCCCTGCTGTGAGCAGGCTGGACCAGAGACCTCTATTCTGTGATTCTTTAGGCCTGTGATGCTGCAGCCAGTTCATGATTGTACTCAGAAGTTGCCAACAAGCAGAAGTGAGACATGAAGTAGGAAATAACAGTGAATTTTCCATGGGGTCTTTGCAGCTTACAGCACTAAGTGTATGAAACATGCTAAGTATTGTACTGACTCATTTGAAAATGTTGTTTACAGCTGTTCCTGTTTAGGCTTTCCCTTTGTATTTACAAATCCATCTTTATGTCCTGCCAGTTCTCTGCAGTTGTGACCTGGTGTATCTGGGAAGCTCAGCTAGTGATAGTCTTATGGCAGCTCTCCCTTTGCTGCTGCCTGTCCCTTGTGAAATGTGGTGGGACATGCTGAAATCATCTTGAACCAGAATTCAGAGTCTGTCTTGTAACCTGTTTTCTCTGTCTTGCTCATGCATTTTCTTCAGAACATGAGGATTAGTAAGTGTTTTTTGTTTGTTTCTTTGTTTTTTTAAACAGCTCATTTGTGACAGGGACAGCCTGCTGTGGACACATCTCACCTCTGAGAATCTGGGACCTTGAGAGGTGAGTGAGCTTCCAGAGAGGGACTTAACATGAAAAGTGAATAACAATGCAATGTTGGAAATGCTTCAAAAGGGTGTAATTTCTTTTGTCAATATAGGCAAGAAGTGATAGAAGATGAGATGTGTTGTGGAGTGGGGGACAAAGCAAACTGGTGTGGAAAGGCATGTGTGGGGGGTGGTTCTGGTTCAGTAACTTGGCTTTTCTTCTCAGCTTTTCCAGTTGATGGCACAGCCATCCTAGTTTCTTCCCATTACCTGTATACAGGCAAAATACACCCATTACGCCTCCTTTTCATCTGTCTCTGTTGATGCCTCAGCCAGAGGAGGTGAGGAAGGTGATCCTTATCCTCCCATTCACTCACTTCTCATGGTGCTAGGAAGCCAGAGGCAAACACAGGCTCTGAAGTCACCTTGTCCTGGCTGGCAATTCCAGTAGCTCAGAGAGGTGATGTGTGGCAACACATTATGTATGGAAGTGACTTCGGCACGTTGTCTTCTCTTTGTCCTAATAAGCACTGAGGAGGTTAATTGCTGTGGCCTCTGATTTGGGGTCTTTGAGTAGTTCCTGTTCAGTGTAGGTGCTGACCTTAGCAGCTGGGGAAATGTTGTTCTCAAATCTTGATGTGAGACTCAACTGCTGACAAATTTGAAACTCTCAGCCTGAGGGTCTTAGTGTAGTGATGGACAGATAGTAAATATTTCACAGGATTATTGGAATGGCAGCCCTGCCTTCCAGGACCAGGATGCTCTGGGTAGGAGTGGCACAGCCCAGATTATCCAAAGGAGTGCTGTCAGGATTGAGTTGAGCAATGGCAGAAGGGGCCTGAGGGATATCAGTAGAGCTGCATTTGGGGAAAGGGAGTGGAGGAGGATTGGTGTGGACACAGGGTAGGTCTGAGACAAGTTGCCTTCTAATCTATAGTTTAGATTGTTTAAGTCAACTGTATCAAATACAAATTTAAGCCAGCAGGTTTATTCTCTGAAGTAACAAAAATACGTTCCAACAATGCACCCTACAAAGGACAAGCTGGAGCAGGAGAGAGCACCAGTGCACTAGCTATGGTGCATGTTTCTAGTTATCCATCCAGTGGTGCCTTTGGAGTACCCCAGAAAGATGCAGGCTGTGCTGTGGTGCCCATCAAGTCTTCTGGCTGTTCTTGAATAGAGGCATCTGACAGGGGTGAGGAGATGGGCAGCCCTCTCCCCCCTGCCCCAGCCTTTCTGACAGCCTTTCCCAAGGAAGCCTGAAGAGATAATAAAGCTGTGTAGAAAATAGGATTAAGGTAATGAACAAGCACAGCGGAGTTTGATCTTTCAATAATGTAAAAGCCTGAGTGACAGGCAAATAAAAAAGCCAAGGCAACCTAGGCCACTGGGCCTCTGTTGAAATGGCTAGAGTGTCAAACTTATTCTTCCCTCTTCACCTGTCACAGCTGGAATGCACCATGCCACTGGGTCTTTCCCTCTGCAGAGACCTGTGTGTGAGCTGGTAGACTCATCAGCATGTGCAGGGTAAGAGGCTGAGTAGGAAGCACGGCTGGGACTCTAGCCTGTGGGGCTTGATGCCATTATTCTTGGAAAGGGAATACAGAGCCATCCTTCCGGGTCTTGACTCTCCATAAACTGTTCATCTTCCCAGCAGAGCTTTGAATCCATCTTCAAAAGCTCCAGTGATTGCCAGAAGTGATCTTGTAAGAAATGCTGTCTGTTCCTTTGAGGCTTTTCAATGTTGTCTCCCTGGTCAGACTCCAGGAGTGAGAGTGTGGCATGAAAACTTAAAATCTTAGAGCCACCCAGTACTTAAAACTCCTCCTGTGCTCAGTGTGTCCTGATAACATCTGGCAGTCAGAGCCAGAGTTTGCTGCTTACCCTTTTCTTGTAGCCACAAAAGGGCCCAGAGGCTGCCCCGCAGAGGCTGAACATGGCAAGGATATTATGTCTAAGAACAGAATCCAGGTAACTTCTGTCAAAAAAAAAAAAAAAAAAATTGGGAAGGGTAGAATGATGCATAAGGCGTGTTTTTGAAAACCACAGGATCCTTAGCACCACTGAGGTGTTTAGTGCTGTCCAGGATCAGCTAGTTCAGTTGGGGCAGTTTTCTTGGCATCGAGGGGTGAGTAAGCAACACTACAACAGTTTCTGTGCCATTTTCTTCCATTGGGGTAGGTGGTCTTTTTACCCAACAGCTGAGATCTGGAACGTGCTACAAAAGGATTTAAAGCTTAAATAACCTTTTGTGTACTGATCATCTTAGTTCCAGGCCAGATAAGTCCTTGGCTGGTGCTTGTCACTGTTGGTCATGGTATGTTTTGTATTTATGACCTTCGCTGTTCCCTGACCCTGCGGCAGCCATTCTTATCCCTCCAAGAGGAAGGGGATAATATCTTCACCTGTAAATATGTCCTGTGCTTTGAAAAGGGCTTGATTGGTTTTGGTGTAGAGGAAATTTTTAGTGGGGAAAGGAAACGCCTCTTGCTGCGTCCCGCTCCCACAACTGTCTTTCATTTTTGACTCTGCTGAGATGATGGCATTGGATCAAAGCCACAACAGGCAGCAACAAGCAATTGTCAAGGGAGTCTAAAGCAGGGGAATGACTGCATAATGCCAAAACACTGTCTCTGATGGCTGAAATTCCAGCTGCTGCTACACCTGGCCCTGTCTCCTGTAATGAAGGAGGATTTAGATTTTTTTTGTATGCTTTTGAAGCTGGCTAGCTGCACTTGTGGAGGACATCTCTCACCCCTCACATGCTACCTTGTGCCATCTGATTGCTTTTAGAGAGGGGAAGTTGCTTGATTCCCACTCTGGATCAAGGTGTGTGTATATAGAAGCAGCTGTAAGTTCAGTGATTAGAGGCCTGCAAGGGGAATGGTGAGCAATATGGGCCACACGATACTAACCTGTGTCCTTGCATCAAGTATCAGGGCTTGCTGACTCCTTGTCCTCTTCCAAGTACCCTTGTCCTTGCTTTAGTGAAGGATATGATGGCAGCTGCCCCTTTTGCAGGTCAGGTTCCTCTGCTCACTTCTGCCTTTTTCTATTCAGACCGTCCTGTCATGTTTGCCAGTGTGAGTGTGTGGCTCAACAGAACAGCCACTTAATGACAAGCAAGAGAAAAGGAAACCTTATTCAGATCCTCCTCCTCTTTCTTCTTCTTTCGATTGCCTTTGGGAGTTTAAACTCCTTGGAAGATGAGGGTCATACACCACTGACAGCTCCAAGGCCAGCATTTGTCATTTGCCTGCAGAGAACTGCTGCTTCCCATGTTATTGGGGTGGTCTTGCATGTCGTTAAGAGACAAATGCCCCTGTCTCAAGGATGCTTCTTCATATGATAGAATAATCCAGAGGTCTCTTTGCAGCAATTCTTGGAACTATTCTGCAAAGCCTGACATTTGAAATGGACCAGTGATCTGTCTTACATGGTAGTCTTCATGCTATAAACAGTTTGAATGCACAAATCCTAGTGTTCTTTCCTGTGACATGACATGACATGCTGCAGGGCACAAGAGCTCTGAAAACAACCAAAGTTAGCTGTGCCCTGCAAGCCACCCAGATCCTGTACCTTTTAAATAGCCAGTCTTTGTCCAACTCCTCCCCCCTTTTGAAGATATTTTTGGCAGAGTGGGGATTTTGTTTGTTTGTTTTCTGGGTTTTTTTGGGTTTTGTTTTGTTTTTTTTAAGAACCCTCTAATTTCTTGTTCGGTTTTTCTCCTGCTCCTGAGCCCTTTGAAAGTGGCTTTATGCCGTCACTGACACCAAACTGACACTTTGCGTTTCCCCACTTCTTATCCCTTTATGGCAACAGATGTTGAAATTTTGTATCCCTTTTATCTGTCCCTCTTTGCCCTCTTCCTGTAATTAGGTTTCCCTTGTTAGCAGTACAAAGTGGCCCGGTTTGCTGCCTGGCCTTTTGAGCCATTGTGTCGGAGCACATTTTTTCCTCCTCTTTCGGAAGAGTTCCTTCCCCCTTAAGTAATAGGCAGGGTGTGGGCCAGAGCTGTGGCTTGTTCTTGTTTCTTTGTTCTCCATTTATCTCTGCCACCTTTTTCAAAGAGATGGAGAAAAAAATAGAGAGTGCGTGGAAGGGGAAGATACAGAGTTGCATTTCTTGACCATCAGGCCCCCCTGCTCTTCAGGTGTTCAAGGCAGGTGCCTTTGATGTTTGCAGCTTTTGGGGAGGTGGGAGGTAGAGGATTCATGAGAGTGTCTTGGGAGTGGAGGAGAAGTGAGATTCAGGTGTGTGGATGGTGCCCTCAGCAGAGGGTTGGGAAGGAGTCTTAGGTAGCCAGGCAGCAGCTGAGCAGGTTAATAATCTGTTCTGCCTATAGAGTTTTTGCACTGTGCTCTTTCTTTCCAAGAGCCAGCATGAGTGTTACCATCTTTAAGCAGCTGGCTGAAGTGTGCTAATGTGCTGCTGCTGTATCTCTAGTGTGTGTTTCCATGGGTCTCTTGCTAGGTTACATTTGTCTGGGCCACTGAGGGGGCAAGAATGAGTTGCTGTCTTTTCAACTTTTGGCTTATGTTGATCTGCATCCATTTTGGTATACAAAATCCATCCATTATAGCACTGAACACTCTGGTCAGCTGATCACTACTGATGATTTCCTGTTTAAATCCAGACCTTCTTGACTTTGTCTCCTGTTGTGCTCCAGTTTGTAATTATGTGGAAGTAGGTGAGTGAAATGAAAATCTGCAGGTCTAGTTCTTAGTTATAAGTCTTGCTGAATGTTTTCAGTAGAAGTTTTTAATGTAGAAGCTTGGCTCAAGGCTTCTTAGTGTTGTGTTCTAAAATAATTTCTGTAGAAGAGCATTGTCTCCACAGCTTTGAACTCCAAGGCTTATGCAAGTTTGAGACCCTCTAATTTAATCACCAAAGGAGCTGTTGGGTGAAGGAAGCACATATATTCAGAACTGGAGTTCGTAAATCAAAAGGAAAGGTAACTGACTCCAAGAGGAGTCAGTGTGGGTGTCAGAGTGGGGTGTCTGTTTCACCCAGGCA